TGCCGTTCGTATTACAATATTCCTTTTCTGTTAAGCCTCTAGCGTTATTTTGTATCGTTAAGTCTCGAATTAGAAAATATATTGTGAAATATACGCAGGAGATAAACGAAGCTTTTACAGAACCATATAAAAATGATAGTTCAAAAACCGACTGCAAGAACTGCTTTGTTAGCGATAAATATTCGAATTAGTTACTAATAAGACTTGAATATGTACATAAGATAATGTACTTAAACAAACGGTTTGTGTAAAGTACAGTGAATGATAGAAGGATTACAGAGGGAGCAGTGCAAATACACGGCGGTATAGATCGTTAAATATGAATCGAGCCTTACGAATTTCATGATGATTTTGAAAAAACAGAATGAAAGAGAGGGAGAGAGAGAGAGAGAGAGAGAGAAAGCGAGAGAATGGGAGCGAGTTTAATAAACGTCGGTTGTTCTAGAAGCTGTGAATTTTACTGATGTAAGTAGTGATACTGAGTGTAAATTCACGATCAATCCGAAAACCGAATTGTTTCAGTGCAATGTTCGACGACATCCATTGCTTGTACTGAATTCTTTGTTCCTTTAATTAAATCCTTTTCAGAAATCGCTCGATCGTTCTCACTATGTGGTACATACTCATACCGTTGTTTTTATCCATATCACGCTCCTCACTATTTTCGTTTAAGACATATAGAACCCTGAAAGCTCAGAACACAGGGATCATGCGAATAAATGTGGCATCGAACTCGACGAAGACCAATCTGCAACTCTGATCCTCTCGATCCTCCTTCCTGTCTTTCTTATTTTTCCTTTGCCCCAAATTAACATACTAGTCGCTTTCTTACGATTGACTAAACGAATGGATGTTTCAGGAGGTCTACGATCGCAGAAACGTCCCTGGGCCAGGGTAGAAATGATCGAGTGCAGTTCCAAGTTACTGTTCCAGCTTCCAGTCCCACGATACAGAATTCCATGTCCTTGAAAGATGAAATATATCACGACGAGAACAGTCAGACGACAGTTAGAGACATTGAAGACGAAGTTAACAATAATAGTTCCACTTTAGGAAGAGGAGTAGTTGATGATTCGATCGTGGACACGGTGAAAACTGTTTTGGTGCCTGTTAGAGATCCAGTGACGAAGGAAATTAAGAATATGTTGGTACCTGTTGAAGTGAGGGACGAGTCTGGATTAAACATAATCAAAAGTGTATTAATTCCTTTTTCAGCAGAGGATGGATCGATATCTTACGAAATTAAAAAGGTCATGGTACCTATCAAGTCGGAATTGAGTTTATCGCCAAAAAAGAAAACTGAGAAAAAGACTTTATTAACAAATAAAACTAGAAGGAAGCAGGTGAATTGTAAAAAAAAAGAGAAGAAAAAAAACGAAGAGAAACAGGAGACGTCATTGAAAAAAAGGACGCGGAGCCCAGAAAGGAAAAAGGAGCCCAAGAAGAAACAAAATAAAAAGAAGGTAGAACAGAAAACAGAGAAAGTATTAGAGTTAGAACTGGACAATATATCGACAGATGTATTCAAGGAAGAAGTGGATCAAATATTAGACACTTTAAAGAACATTTGCCCATTCTGTCAGAAGCGTTTCAGAGACGAGGACCAAATGCAAAAGCACGTCCTCAAGACACATAAGAAACCATATAGCTGCGACAAGTGTCATAAAGGCTATTTCTCCGACTTTACTCTAGAAGAACACCAGAAAACACACGATGTGGTTCCGTTTTATCAGTGTTCCATCTGTCAGATGCAGTACAAAACCGCGATAGGATTAAAGAATCATCAGACCCGTGAACATAGTGACATAGATCCCAAATTTACGTGTTATTACTGTGAGAAGCGATTCAAATTAAAATTAGACCTAAACCTTCACATCCACAGATCGCACATGAACATAATTTACATTTGCAGATTCTGTGGCATGGCAGTGAAGAATATCGTGCATCACGAACTAAAACACGAAAAGAACAAGAAAACCAGTTATCTGCATCATTGCAGTATCTGTTCTAGGAAATTCAAAGCGTGGAACAGCTTGGAGAATCATTTATTAATGAAGCACAAAGCTCCTAAGGAAGGATTGGACATGTTAAGGACGCTGTGTGAAAAGAAATTTCAATCCAGAAATGATTTTTATCATCATGTGCTTAACCAATCGGAGGCCAAGCAGCACAAGTGTGTCATTTGCGACAAAACATTTGCTTCTGAGCATAATCTTCGTAATCACGTCGCTCTACACTCGCATACTTACCTGTGCTCCCACTGTGGCAAGAATTTTACCACGAACTATTCGTTGAAGCTGCATCTTCGAAAACACACTGGAGAACGGCCGTATCAGTGTAAAATATGTTTAAAGACATTTGCCAGATCAACCTCGCTTAAACTACATACTTTAACTCACACTGGTGAAAGACCATATGTGTGTGATTTATGTGGTCAAAGTTTCACTCAGAGAGGAAGCATGATGACGCATCGTCGTAAGCATCCTGGAAGTCATCTGCCGCCTCCTCCTTTGATACTAAATAAACTCGAAAATAACGAACATTAATTTTTGTTAAGATGTCAGATATTATGCAGATTAAAATACTGACACGTACAATTTTGTACAATACTTGATGTAAAGTTGATGGTGGAATTTTGGGATACAAATACTTTTTGATAAAAGGTGGAATTATGGAAGAATAGCCAAGATTAATTTCTTTCTTTTTCAGAATCTAGGAACGATGCTCGCTTAAATTCTAATAAATTGGACGTTTTCGTTGCAAGTCTTGGGAAATGAGCACTTTGTTTTCTGTTTATTGTTTGTTGCCTGTTTATTGAAAAGCATATTTGATCGCGATCTATCAACTTACAAGATAAGATATCGTCTATGTTGGCAATGAAAAATACAGTGAACAAAAATAGATCTAATTTATTCCAATTGCCAATAACATTTTTTTAAAAATATTTTTATGAATTTTATAGTTTTAATATAATGTTCATATATTCTTTTGTTTCTTGTTAAAAAATCTATGTGAAATACGAGACGAGTTTCTAGATATTGACTAACGGGAAGCGGTATATCTCACTTGAATTTAAGTGCAATAATTATACTAGAATTTAAGCAAGCATTATTATATTCATATTTTATTTCATCCGATTGCATTACACTTCAAAGTTCATTATTTCTTTTATCACTTAGATAATCGTGTTCGTAAAGTGTCATCTCCATTTTTCATTTTTTAATGAATCTTGTTCACTTAAAACTTATCGCAGTTTTACAGTGAAGTAAAAAAGTTATCTCTCAAGGTGTTTTCGATTCGATGAGAAAAAAGTTTCTACTATGCGTATTGATCCTATACGTGTTAATCCTTCTGTTACCAAAAAGTGCGTAAGACAAACTTCAACGTGACTGTTTTTTTTTTATCAGACGAAATGTCAATTTGATGATTCGACTTAATGTCGATTTGACTTAATGATGTTATATATAGTTCATCGTAAAGAGGATAAATACTGTAAAATAAAAGAGTAAATAGGAAATGTAAAAAATCAGATCGTTAGAAAGTACAATTCTTACGAAGAAAGGACGAAGAGAGCAAATAGAAAATGACGCATTGTTAAGCATTCATTTGTAAGTTCTACCGTGACTGTAAGAGTGGATAAAGAATGAGCTTTACCAATTTAGATGTTTTCGAGAAATTATGAAATTTTGTTGATTTAAAATACGACGAACTACAGGTTCACATTAATTTCATTATTAACATTCGAGGCGTTTATTGTTTGTACTGGATCATTTGTTCCTTTAATTAAATCCTTTTTAATAATTGTTAAACATTCGTTATATAATTCTTATTTGTCCATTTATCTTCCCAAACTAACATTTACAAGATCTACAGGAAAAATTTAATATAAATAAACAAGGTCGTCGATTGTTACAGACTTGAAACCGTATTTTGTAACCAGATCCACCCAATTTCTAAGTGTTTTTTGTTCTCGTTGTGCACCGTTGATTCTTTCCTGTGACTAACTGAACGAATCGGTGTTTCAGGAATTCACGGATGGCGGAAAAATCGAAGCCACCAAACCCGACGCAACAACTCGTTTTATTGTGTCGCAGAATCCCGGACCAAAAAAATATTAATCGAGTGCCTCTCGATCTAAAAGCTAATTCAATTTCCGAACGAAACGCGAAGAAACGTAGAAGATTTGTAAGAAGTTCTAAGAAAATGAATAAATCACGAACGTTGAAGAAAAGTGAAAGCAATTTAACTGATAGTACAACACAGAATGGAACGAACGTGGATTTAATTTCGAACGAGAATATTATGAGTACTAGCGATTGTTCAAATCTAGTTAACAGTGATTCATCGTTGATAGAAACGAATAACGATACGGTTGGAAAAATTCCAGATGATCAGAAAATAAATTCTTCAAAAATTATGAAACGAGCGTTGATTTCAGTTAAAAATCCGGTGACTAACGAGATTAAGAAAATGTTGGTGCCGACCGAGAGCACAAACACTGGCAGATTAAGCGTGATTAAAAATATTTTGATACCGGTTTATGATAAAAGTGGTGTTATATCGAACATGAAAAAGGTCGTGCTGCCTATCAAGAAAAAATCCAATTTATATGAAACGTCAAAGGAAAACAGTAAAATGTTAATAATTGATAATACAATGCAACAAATGGGAAATGTGCAAAAAGAGGACACGTCGACGATATCGATCGAAAACGAATTGAAAGGATTAGAAAACAGCAAAAATCCAGTGGCGCAAGTAGCATTAAATGAAAGTAGAGTACAATGTACTGAGTACATTAAAAATCAAAGTGAAATGGAGGAAGATAAACACGCAAAAGAGATCCTATTTGACTTTTTGAAGGGCGAAATAGAAGAGGAAAAGGAAAGACAAGACGAGACAGAATCACAAAAGTTTCCCATCCTAGAAACATCAAATTCATCATTCATCAAATTCATTCTTGTGACAAATGTAACAAATGGTATCCATCGAAATTGCTCCTGGAAAAGCACAAGATAACTCACGAAGACTATCCGTATTTACAATGTCCTACATGCCATTTAAAATACAAGCGTAAAGCGGGACTAAAGTATCATCATATTCGCATGCACAGCAACGTGGAGCCAAAGTTTATGTACGGGAAAAGTTTAAAATTGAAGATCGATTTGGTCGATCACATTGAAAAAACGCATCTAAACGCTCGTCACGTCTGTAAAATTTGTGGTAAGATTGTCGAGAACATCACGCACCATGAATGGCAGCACGACAAGACTGCGAAAAGAAACGCTTTCAAGTATAGTTGCGATGTTTGCCGTAAAAAATTCTCGACTCGTAACCACTTATCATCTGCTTATGCATAAGGATGGTTTCAAGTGCACTTTATGCGACGTTTTCTCTTCGCCGTATTCTCTTTCTAGTCACAAGATCATGAAACATAGACATAGCTCGACGTGTACCATTTGCGAGAGATCATTCCCTAGTACGACCAATTTTTATCAACACGTGCTCACTCACGAAGGTATTAGACCTTATAAATGCGATATTTGTGGGGAAAATTTCACGCAGAGATCTAGTGTCTTGAGACATCGAAATACTCATCCTGGGCCTCTTCCTCCGTTTAGAGAAACCACGTTCATGGCAGATATTGCGAAGAATATATTGATGAGACTTTCTAACGCTTGAAACGTGAAATATCGTAATGTGACTACATTGTGGGTTTTATCGTAGAGAAATAACTTAAGAAAAATTCAACTAAAAGAAGACTACTGAGAGTATAGAAATGCTTGTGAAGAAATATACGCGAGAAACACTGTATAGAATCTTGTTCTATATGGTAATTAATGATAAATATGAACCACAAAAATTATTACATTTACGAATTGATTTTATCGCTTCATTCTAACGATGTTTATAGTAAGTCTATAGTAAGTGTTATTGAGACTGATTGTAATCGAAACGAATATTTTAACATTGTATAGAGAACACAACAGAAAGATTTGTTGACAAGCATGAATTTTAGAAGAAATTATGATGCGTGCATTTAAAGCATGCTATGTTTTAATGCCCTTTATTGTTAATTGCTGTGAGACGTCACTTTATCTAAATAAAGTTAAGCTACCTAAAGTATTCACAGAAAACTTATTGTTTTTATAATAAAATCTACAGAAAATAATCTGTTCTAAATGATTGAAACACATTTATAAAAAGATATCATTTTTAATTAATATTTTTAATTACAAACAATCAGTATATAAACACGATTTGTTGAACTTAATAAATAGCAAAATTCATTCATTATGTGTAGAAATTTAAAAGTGTTTCGAAAACTGATAGTTTCATGTATTTTATGTGAAAATACTGACATTTAAATATCCAAGTTTATACAATAAAGTGTGTATTAAACGACGCAAAAGTAAGTTACATTTTTAATATATTTCAGATGTTAATCATGAACATATATTATACTCTATATTATATATTTATATTATAAATCGTTCCTATCGAAGAAAGCATCTCATCAAGTAGTATTCGTATATGAAATAATTTTTTACGAATATTCAAAACTTTACTTTGTAGATTGAAATATTCTCACTTCTTACATATACATATACAATTATTTTTGTAAATAATATGAATAAACCACATATAGTTCTCATGCACTGACACACAGACTATCGTTGTTTCAGAGAAGAACCTGTCCTACGACAGCAAAGAAACCCAGAAAGAAATTCGTCTTACTGTTTAATAGCGGCCGATAAGCCGTCAGGAAAAGGATCGACACAAACCACAACATCAAATCTCAAGCACACAGAATCAGAAAAAATAAAAGAATCGCAGCGACGCAATTCATCCACCGACTCGGAATACGATTCTGAAAATTCACGAAATGCCAGAAGAAATTCAAGAAAATCAAAAATAAATGTGCAAACATCCTCGCGGAAGAGAGAAGCCGAATCCATCGCTTCAAGGAAAGACGAAGTCGAAGTGGATCAAGTTTTAGATAAAATCAAAAACACTTGTCCCTTCTGTGAGAAGCATTTCGATAACGCAAAGAAAGTGGAGAACCACGTAACGTATGTTCACAGGAAACCGTATAAATGCGATATGTGCAAAAGGGCGTGTCACACAGCACGAGCCTTAGAAGAACACAAGATGATCCATCGACCGGATTACTTCTTCGAATGCAAGATTTGCCACGTGAAATATAAAAGCGAAGACAGCTTAAAGAGACATAATATGCGTACTCACAGTGATTACGAGTCGAAATACGTGTGTGAACACTGCGGTCGCAGCTACAAGCTGAAAATAGATCTGACGCATCACATGAAGAGATCACATGCTTCAGAATTGCAGATTTGTCGATTCTGCGGCAAGGAAGTGAAAAACGTGAAAGGCCACGAATGGAGGCATCAGAAACGTACGAAGGAAGTGAAATACGAGCATACTTGCCACTTGTGTCGCAAGAAGTTTCTTCACAGGAGTAGATTAGATAATCATTTGAGGCTCCACGAGAAAGGCTTCAAATGCGAAGAGTGTGGAAAAGAGTATCGCGGAACTCGTGAATTAATGAGTCACAGAAGATTCAAACATGGCCAGGCGAAGATTTTGACCTGTGTCTTGTGTCAGAAAGCGTTTCCTTCGAGCAGTAATTTTTATCAACACGTTTTGACGCATGCTGGAATTAGGCCTTATAAATGTGACGTTTGTGAAGAGGATTTCACGCAACGTTCTAGCCTATTGAGACACAGAAGGCATCATCCTGGACCGCTTCCGCCATTACACTCGACTCATCCGCAAATTGCTGAATTGGCTAGGAGTTATCTGCAGAAACTGCAGAATAACCAGATCGATAAAAGTTGCGTTTTGGACGCGAGATTATGATCGATTTGAAATCACGTTCTTCGTGAGTGGAGAATTGTGATTTTGTATGTTTGATGTACTACAGGGAGGGGTGGTTTCTATATTTTGAGCAGTAATTAAAATTTTTAATATTGGTGATAAAGTTTATGCCAAGTGGTTGAGATGGTTGACCATTTGAGATTTTTCATTAAAAAACTAAGTGGCAACTGTGAGAATGAAAATTCTGATTTTTTGTAATTTTATGGAGATCCTATGGCATCTAGTAGGTAATTTCCAAAGAGGAAAATTGTTCAGTTATCTGATACCATGATATATTAGGTATCTTAATCTATATGTGATATTCTATAGACTAATATATGTGATGATATTCTTTTTTGTAAAAATATTACAATCAATTTTATTACACGTATCTTTTCTTTAAAGAAAAGCTGTAAATTACAAGCTATACTTTTTTTACAACAGGTTTTTATAATAAACTACAACCATCTTATATATATAAGGCAAATAATATTTTTTGAAACGACAGTTTATCTTAAGATGTTATTTTTATAAAAATGCTGAATTCCATTGTCAACAGCAATATATGTACATGTGCATAATTGTAATAAGTAGTCGCATTTATCATTTCTACTGATTACTAAGATCTGAAGATAGATAGATCATTTTTGTATATTTGTATATATTTAGATTACTATCTTTAAAAACAAAATCATAACTATTGTAAATTTTATAATGTTTGAAATATAACAATAACTTATCCTACATAAGCTCCAATTTTTTTATATTTTTGTATTACTGAATAGGAAATAAAAAATTATTCATAGCACCAGACATTAAATGAGGTTGCAAAATTAAAATTGCTTGTGACTTGACGCATTAAACAATTATTATACTTACGTTTGACATTTTATCTTATTTTTAATATTATACATTTGTAATAAAAGAATTTTAATCGTTTCCTACATAGTATCGTTGGAAGAGAAAGATCTGTTAAATTTGTCAAGATCAAGTTATATTGTCGTACTTATAAAATTATATTAAACCAATATATATATAGAAAGCAACTGTTGCATATTTCCTAAAAATACCCCAATTTTATAATATAATTGTACCATATGTAATGTACATGATTATTGTTATCTTGTTCTTCCATTATTTTCTACCAATTATTACACTAAAATAACTTAATACTCTTTCTTCTACAGAATAACTATACGTAAGTTGCGTAAAACACACAGTGACTATAATCGAAACACATACCAAAAAATCTTATACGCATTCGAGGCTTCTAGAGGAAGAGCATAACAAATTTTACTGAAATTACTGAAGTGACAAGTTTCTTAAAACGACTACTGATCTTATATACATACCAGGTGCATGCTCTCGTGCGCGGTTTAACAAAACTGAAAGAAACAGAACAAAACAAAAAATTATACGATCCTCTCACTCATCCAATCACAAGAGTGACTATCTTTATCGCAATCGACTGACTAGCTTTATGGTTTTTTAGGTACAATGCGCTAGATCCACTCGCCCCAACTTTTCTGATAGTAAAACTAGAAGATAATTACTTTCGGATACCGACGTCGCTGAGTGTGTTCATGATGAAGGAACCGCCACCGGGTTCCACCGAAGAAAAGAAGGCTCAACCAGCAAAAGAAGACGGTGTTCATTCAACAAAGACAAATCAGATAGAAGAAAAAATAAAAGACGATTCAAGTAGCAACGATTCCTTCGAAGATCTCGACGACGCTCCCTTGGACTTCCGAAAGAGAGAACAGGAGCAAGAACAGGAGAAAAATAAATCTGTGAAACCAATACTCCCTAAGAAGAAAGTACACACGTGTGAGATCTGTTACGCGACTTTCGATCGTAAAAGTAAACATACACGGCACATGTTCAAGCACAGTAACTCCAGACCTCATAAGTGTCCTATTTGTGCGAAAGGATTCAAAACCACAGCTCATCTAAGCAGGCACATGGAGGTTCACGATGAACCGGTAAACCTACATGCATGTAGTCTGTGTGACTTCAAAGCACGCACCAAGCCTTACCTGAAGATCCATTATATTAGAAAGCACACAGAAGACTATAACTATAAATGTGAACAATGTGGAAAGATGTTTAAGGTACAATCAGATTATACGACACACGTGAAAGATCATGATACAGAGTCTTGCGTGTGTGATATCTGTGGCTCGTCTTATCCCAGCAAAAGCTCACTGTACTTCCATAAGCATTACAAACACAAGACGAAGGTGAAGAAATTCCCCTGTCAGACATGTAAGAAGAAATTCAAGACGCAGAAAAATTTAGATAACCATATGGAGCTGCACAAGATTAAATACGTTTGTGAACAATGCGGGATGGAATTTAAGACAAAATATGGCCTCACCAAGCATCTGAGGACTCATTCCGGGGAAAAGTCTTATTTGTGCGCGATTTGTGGGAAAACTTTTGGATGTCTCAGCTCACAGAAGATTCATCTGTTGACGCACGTTGGCGAAAGGCCTTACGTATGCGACATTTGCGGTCAGAGTTTCACCCAGAGATCACCCATGATGTTGCATCGCAGGAAGCACCCTGGGGTACACCCACCACCTCCTCCAATTAAAATAACAAACCTGCTACACGGTGTACAAGACAAAATAATCGTGAACAAGAGTAGCAAGTAATTGCAAGACGAACAGACAACGTGTGATGAGACACTTTTGTATATTTCCATTTTACATGTAACGTTAGGACGTGAAAAGCATGTGATCGATGGCATCGATTTCTCGAATGATTAATTGATTTGGAGATTGTTACGGTGAAACTTCCTTCGATGCATTCTGTGAAGTAATTAAGTGTTTCATTGAGTCACTGAATTTCTGTGAGTTTCGAATTACAAGTACGCGATCGATATGGCTGCACTATACTCACCAGGCTACGTAATACGTAAGTCTTTTACCTGTTTTGAAAAAATTAGTTTTGGTTGAATGTGATAAGTACTTGCAGTTATTATATGAGGTAGTTAAGTTTAAATTATTCTTTTCCTACTAATGTTTTATTTAAAATACCATTTCTGTGTCCTATAGTCAGTTTCTCCCCTGTTCTTTTTTTTATCTTTCGTAATACGGTCATTGTATAACCGTAATTTGTAATACTAATATTAAATTGTTCCTATCGATACATTTTCATTGAATAATAAAAAACTGCAGGCGAATAGTTAATTATTAATTTTAAAGATCTTAAATGTTAATTCAAGCGAAGTGAAATTTTATGAAATCTTTTATATCTATAAAAGTTTGTTTCGTTGAAAAGGTATTCATT